CATGGAATCTTGAAACAATTGAACAAACTTGGTAACCATCTTCATCAAGATATTGCAGTTCACTCATTTAGAAAATGTAAAAATCTGAGAGAGAGAATTTAGATAAACTAGTAAGAAAAATAACTTTTAAATCCAAAATATGATAGAAAGTGTATAGAACACTAAATATTTTGTCAAAACAGATCAACCATGATTCAAGAACAACAACCTATAATCCAAAGTCCCTTTCACACATCTCAATATCTTCTCAATTTCAAGTAGGTGAGAAAGCCTCAAATGATTAATAAATCTACTAATCAGCATCATTCCATAAGTTATGTCATGTTTGTTGCTACACAAAAATCTCAATGATTTGTCACTTCCCTCCCCCGCTTTGTACCATAGTCAACTAGTGTTTGGACTAATTAAATTACAGTCAGACATATGAATCTTTTTAATATGTCAATTGTATACCTTTTTTGACATAAAAATTTCATCACTCGTAATGACAAATTCCATCCCCAAAAAATAAGCTAGCAAACAAAAATTTGTCATCTCAAACTCCAATGCTATTCTCCTTTTAAACTCAACAATTTTTATTGCATTTCTCTCACTAACTAGTAGGTCATCTACATATAGGCAAACAATTATTAAATCATTTGTAGTATCTCTCACATAAACTCCATATTCCATTGTACCCAACCGTAAAAGGAGACAATTTATTCTTTTATTTCAAACCCATGGGGATTGTTTTAGCCTATATAAATCCATCTTCAATTTATTTACCTTGTTTTCACATTCTGATACATCTAAACCAAAAGGTTGACATACACAAACCTCTTTATATAATGGCTCCATTTAGAAAGGTTGAATTCACATCAAGTTGATATACCTCCAAAATCAGTTGTAGCAACCACTAGTATGATGGTTTCAATTATGATCATGATGGAAAACACTTCATTGTAATTCAAACCAACCTTTTGTAAGAACCCTTTTACAACCAACCAGGCCTTTTATTTTGCAACTTCTTCAATTGGTTTTACCTTCACGTTATCTAATATGCCTTTTTTTTCTAGGAATGAAACTAACTATTATGTAGGGTTCTTATCCATAACATTCAACACTTCCTCCATTATTGCCTTCCATTTAGGTTCCTTGATTGTTTACTCAAAAGACACTGGTTCTATTGTAGTTAGTAAAGTTAAATGCATTATGTCCCTTTCTTTACTCACTGTAAATTCAAGAATAGATGTACAATTTTTAAATCTCTTGAGTGGTTTTTAGTTCTCTATGGTCTTTCTAGATGCATTTGAACTATCTTTATAAAAATTTTAGATTACATGTCCAGCAAAATTAGTATAATAACTTTACCATTTCCAATTGTAGTCTCCCAACTTCAACCTTTGCTCTCATTAACAACATCTATGCTCAACATTAGTATTTTGTTAATAAGGTTGTATAATTGGTATGCAACAATTGAATGGTACACAAGAAACACCATTAGCTCTCCCTTGTCATCCAACTTCTTTTTTATTTCATCTAATATGCATTCAAAACAAAGATAATCAAATACTCAGTAGATAATCAAACACTAATAGCTCTCCCTTGTCATCCATCTATTCAAAGGAGTTTGATGGATTGACCACATTGCGTCTCTGTCATTGTCTTAATACTTTTAACCAAATAGACCCGTAACTTTCCTTTAAAGTCATCAACAAAGGAAAGGAAATAATAATTACCTCCGAGTGAAACTGACTCTATTGAACCACATACATATAAGTAGACACCTTTTGCTAATGCTTTTATCACCAAAATATTGGACTTTTATGGAATTTTTAGTATATTTGCTTATGAGTCACTCTTCACATAACTCCTTTGGTTGCTTTATAAAAGGGAAAATTTTAAGTCATTGATAGACTCAATCTTCTAAAACTTTTATGCCTAGATATTAATTATTAAATGTCAAGGTTAATTAATATTCAACAATAACAAAATAATTACTTTCACTAATTGAATTTCAATTTTAAAGATTTTGTTTTCTTGATAATGGAGCCTTCGAAAGTCAATTTTATTTTGTTGTCATGCATTTTCATTATATTATGCTACATATTCTTGACATGATTTTTCTCCAATAATTGGACTAACACTTAAGATATTGTTCTTTATTTGTGGCACATAAAGAAGAATTGTTATGAATGGTTGATATATTTATCTTTGAATCAAAACTTTGGTCATCCCTTTAATTTTGGTAGTGCTATTATCAACAAATTTCTCCATTGTTTTTCACTCTTTTTTAAAATTGACGAAACATCCTTTATTTTCAATTATGTGGTTTGAACTTCAATATCCAAATACTAATAATCAGATTTGGTACAATATGATGTGTTCATCGTGGGAAGGAAATGATATTAATTAGAATCATCATTATCACCTTATGACATTTCATCTTTAGAGTACTTTACTTGTTTTCCTTTATTAATTTATCACTCATCTGTTAAGTGACCCTGTTATTTACAAGTATACCATTGTATATTCTTATCGAATTTCCCTTGCCCTCCTATATTTTGATCACCTTCATTTTAGCCAAATTTTCCACAACCATCAGTCTTCTTGTGACTTGTTCAAGATAACCCATGTCTCCTTAGCAAAATTTAATGAAGCTATCTTCTCAAAGTTGACAAAACTCACTTATTGATTCCATCAAGAAGAAAACTTTATTGTCTTTCTCTTTCTTCTTGAGCTTCTTGAAAATGGCCCTATACACTAGGGGTGAGCATCGCTTCACCCAGTGCAACCCAAGGTTGACTTAGACAGTTTTAGACTTTGAAATTGAACTTAATGCATTTCTAGGACAAGCTTGAAATACGTTTTGAGTCGTCCAACTTGGTTTAATATATAGTATTCTCTTATTGAATTATTGTATATTAACAATAAAAAAAATTATTTAGTTATTAATATTTTTATAACATGATATTATATTTATAATGAAATTATTTATTTAAAAAATATATATTAAAAATATACCTTAATTTAAGTTTTGTACTACCTTTAATTTACAATTTATCTATACATAATATTAAATAATATAGTGTATCAAAGTTGGATTAATTCAATCTTCTCTCATATTTTCGGACCTTCGTCAGGTCAAATATGGATTTTAGAAAAATGGTTTCATCAAAAAATTGAGTGAGATTTGAATAAGGATGGACCTAGCTCATGCTCAGCCCTAAAATGTTCACTTCTATAATATCTTCCAGTTCTTAGAAAATTATTATAGTTTAAAACATATATTAAAAATAAAAGGTGACATTCATCTTAATTCACAATTGTTTAAAGCTCATATTATCAAGAATTGACAAGTTGACAAGAAAAGACTCGTTAAGACGAATCACATTTCACCATTTAAACTCTTCAAAATTCCACACCAAGAGGATTCACACAGATTGAAAATTCACCTAAGAAAGGGTTTTTCACAACAAAAAAACCATGTAAGCTAGTGAATTTTACTCACAAGTCAATGATCAAGATAACATTAGATATCATGGATTAGAAACACTAAAAAACAAAAGGTAAATAAAAATAAGAAAGCTTGATTATGTTTTTAATACTTCAAATTTGTTGTGTGTTTTTTTTGGTCTCTAAAATTTAAAACACATTTTTAATCCCCAAAATAATATATATATATATATATATATATATAT